ATATATATTTCAAGATAACTTTAAATTATTTAACATTAAACACTCATAGATCGTGGATTTTTATTTATAACATGATAGTTGAGAATATAGATTTAAGTTAAGATTTTAATCTTACTTTTAATTATATTATGTTTATTAATATTGCAATAATATTATATTATTATGATATTGAAATAATGGTTTCAAATAACATTTTTATAAATCCGTGAACTGCTATCTAAATTCTTTGATTGAGGGTGGTGCATGATAAATACGCGGGTCATTTCAGAAAGTGGGGGAATTCGTCTTCTCTAAATCCAGCTCACTCACTCACAATCTTCCAAAAAGGTGAAACAAAAGTTCCCTCAGCTCATTTTCCCAGAATGTTCACCGCCTCCTTTTAACCATAAAAAGGGAACAAAGGAAAATCTAAGCACCACCCTTGTTAGATTCTTTCGTTCTGCCAGCTGAAGTTTTAGATATTGATCAAAGTTTCAATGGAGGGTGATACTTTGAGCTCTGCTTTCTCAGCTTCATCAAGGAGCTATCAATCCATACTTAAATCCCCAAGTGGTTAGTTTTTTTTCCCTTTTTCAGTTTGGGTTTTCTTTGTGGGTTTTGTTTGCCTTGTGACATGATGTGCTTTGAAAGCAGATATTTGTATTGATTTCGAAGATATCGAAGAAGATGATGAATTGAAGACAGAATACTCATACCCGTATTGTTCTGAGGATTTATTTACTTGGATTGTGCTGCCATATCGATGATGAACATCATCTTGAAGCTGGCTACGGGGTACGCGATTCCCTTCTGGATTTCTTATTTGACTTAAAAGTTTGTCATTTTTCAAAGATTGTTAGAATTATTAAATAGGGAATGATTTTGCTCTTCTTGGATATGCTTTAATTTGAGAATCCTGTGCAATGGTTAGGAAAGAAGGGATCTTTTAATACTATGCATTTACCACCAATGGTGTTTGATGATTGGATTGATGAATGCATGTTATCTAGTATCACTCATTCTATGAACTCGTTAAATTTTTGTACTTGCCAACATTTTCATTCTGGTTAAATGTTCTTGTTGACCTAGTCTGCCTCATCAAAGCTTTATAAGTGTTCGTTGGCTTTGTCCACTCCATCTTGCCGGCTTGGATTTTTATATGGTCAGGAAACTGCATGAATGAGTCCTAGAATTACTGGTTATAATTGCAATTTAGATGTACTTGATGTTTAAAATCAGTTAATCAGCGTTGCTTGTAATTTTAGGTATGTCCTGTTTGTTCTTTGAGGGTGGGGATGAACATGGTCGACCACTTAACCACGCAGCATGGGAATATTTTCAAGATATCCTTTTATTTCATCCGACTTGGATATGTTACTCATCAAGTCAAGTTTTTTTTCATTTTCTTCATCTCATTTCTCATGCTCTAGATTATGTCATCGTGCTTGAAAGTCTTGTCATCACCTCTCTTTCTTTTTATTAAATATCTGAAAGTGTTCAATTTATTCCGCAACTTTTTTTGCTCGACCGCAATGGTGTTTTGAGGTTCATAACTTGTGTCCTTAACCTGTGATTACAGTAACCACAAATTAAAATTCCATAAAGGTGACTCTTATTCAACACTTTCTTCCTTGAGAAAGGAGTTACACGATGCTCGGTATCAATCTTTCCTTTCCAGGTCGTGGTCTTCACTTTCTTCCTCCAATACTGCACCTGATCCATTGTTTTCATTTATTTCGTATCCACTTCCGGCTAATTCCCCGGGAAGTCTAAAGTCGTTTTCTTCTAGTGAAACGACCTTAGAAGATAATGGCTCATATGAGAACATATTGGAAAAGTAAGTTATTCTATTATGTTTTAAGATATTGTCTCCAGTGGTTGAGCTAAGCTAAACCCTTTTATTTCGTTCGAATTGGAGATATCGTCTCCAGAATGAGAAAGAAATTTTTTTGCTTTCCTTAGTTCTTGAGCTTAAACAAATTACTTAAAACTTTACTCCCGCATTAAATGCGAATGCATGATGTTTTTTATGGTGCACAGAGATGTTCAACCATCACCTTTGTCGGATAAAGAGCATTCGGAGAAGTCAAAGAGGTGCGAGTTCGTGAAACGACTATTGTTATCCATTATCTTAGATGATGACTTATGAACCAGACAGCCCAGAATTGATGGTCTTTTAGCAAACGTGCCATCATCCATGTTTTCTTGTGTTGAATATGCTGATGCTTTAATGGAGAAATGTAGGATAGATTTAGGAATGTAATTTATTTTATAGGTAAGTGTTATCAACTAGGGCACAGCAGAGCTATGATTCTCGTAATTTTCATTTCTTTGAAGCATTAGTACATGATGCCAATATTAGTCTTCTTTCCTTCATCTTCCATGATCTATCCTTATATTTGCTAGTTCATCTGTATGGATAATTTTCATGTCTTTGAAGCATTAGTACATGATGCCAATATTTGTCTTCTTTCCTCCGTTGAAGAAGATTTTTTTTTGGAACCATCATTCAACATTCATTAAATAAAATAAAGTTTGAAATAACAACTTAAAGTTCATTAAAACCCGGTCGATATAAAATTGCTCTACAGCTTAATTAGTTATAGTATACAGAAAGGAGCGAAGAGCATCTTCCTGTGTCTGAACGTTGAGCTCGAGTACAACTAGTCCATGGTAGCAGCAATCAATCAGTTGATACTGGTAAAAGGATGCTGGCCTAGGTGGCCTGGGTGGTGATTGCTGTGGCTGTGAGTGTGAATCGATGACTGGAGTGAGTTCCATATTTCTGGATCCAGTTGAGCTTGTTGTTGTTGGGTCTGGCTGATGCCTTTTCGAACCAACGGGCGAATATCCATCAATGATTGCCTGCTCAGGAAACTATTGGTGGTGGGATATTGTGCTATACTCAGCAGCGCCGTAAAAGCAACGGGTGGTGACCCTGTTGTAGTTGGATGCGATAATGTCTGCAGTTAGGATGTTGGCAGTCATCAACATCTCGGGCCCGAGTCTTAGGGTGCAGGGAATCCCAAGGATTTGGGCAGAAATGAGATCTTCTTTAGAGAAGTGTCCTTCTTGTGGATTCCATGCGTAAGCTTGGTCTTGTTTCCAATCTAGGAGCCAAAATGGACGGCCTAATGTCTCGTGCGGTAGCGGGACAGTGCGCCATTTCGATTTTCTGTCATCCATGCAGTCAAGTAGACCTTGAACTAAAGCTGCGTTCATCATGAATTTGTTAATGCCGAATGGGTTAGCGAAGTTGTCGAAATTGATGTTGCTTAGTAAGGGGATGTAAATAACATCTTCAGTGGTTCCAAAGAGATGCGTTGGTTTAATAACAAATAGGAGGTGATGCAGAAATGGATCATAACGATCTTGAGCGAAGCTCTGCTCTGTGCTGTAATGCTGAAGTTGTGCAGTACTGTAGTTGAGTGGTTCCCTTAGAAGATTCAACTGGGACAGTGAAGGCTTCAATGGTATGCTTGAAGCTACTGTAGGTTGCCCGAAACTGGCCGATGTACAAATCACATAGCCGGGTAAATATCACGTTTGAGTGCAGAGTTACCGCTGGCGGCGACGGGGCTGATGGCGTATGAAGCCGATTTGACAATCTTCTTTGAGGGAGTCAGCAATGCGTGCTAAGTCCACTCGATTGGGAGCTTGCTTGGGCATGGCCGGAGGTAGCGCAATCGGCATCCGATCTTGCCTTGCGGGAGCAGCTGGTTGCGGACCTTCACCCTGGGTTACTAGTGTTGCCTAATAAACCTGGTTAGCCATGAAAACTATTAGTAAAGATTTCTCACAATACATGTTTTACATATTTCTTAATGTTTCCTTTATTTCCATTAACAAGATTAAGCAATGTTTTTTGAAATGATATAAATGTAAATCTTCTTAATCACTTCAGAAGAATGTAAGTCTAGTGAGACCTCACACCATTAATCAGCACTAATAAAGCCAGTTCTCTACAAGGTGGAACTTGTAACAAGCTAAACATTATACATATTTAATTCAACTACGTTAACTCTCATATTGCTCCAAAACACTCGAATATAATTCTCAGAAGTTATATTTAGTTACAGATAAAGTAAAAAGTAATAATTATTTCCTTTCGTTAATACCTCAGAGAGTATTGCAGGTGCCGCCTCTCCGCCGGCGGCTTGTAGAATGGGTCTCACGTATGAGTTTGGGTTACCAAGAAATCGCCGGAGTTTGGAATTCTACTATTAATCTTTATTTAACAAGAAGAAAAAAAAGAGTATTGCAGTTTGTGCTGGCTTAAGTGAACAAGAAGATTATTGGTTTTTTTTAGAGGTTTTAATGGGCGGAATTTTGAGGACGACGGTGGAATTGAAAGGTCAAGAATGTCTTGCACTGTTTTTCGGGGTGTTGGGCCAAGCCCAAATTTATGGATGTTGACCCGTTATATAATCAAACCATAAGTCCAAGAATTATAGAAAAAAATACGTGACACTATATTATATGTTCAAAGATAATTCTAAGGATCGTATGATTTATTGGGAGACCAGTAGGGATTAAAATGAATTTTATTTTTTGTTTAAATTTTAAATTCAAAAAGTTATGTTTACATAATGTATATTATAAATGATTAAGAAATATCATATTTATTTTAATGGTTAAAAGAAGAGTTATTATCCGTAAAAAATCTAGACTCAAACAATTAAATTCATAAAATATATACAATAATTAAAATTAAAATAAATTATTATAATCATTTTAGATTTTTAAAAAATCTTCAAAGATCATAAATCAAAAATTGAAAATTGTCAAAATAATACCGAGACCAAGAAGAAAATAAATAAATCAATTTTTATTTGAAGGTTAGGTGCGGTACCAAGGACCACAGGCACGGGCCATAGGTGCCGGGTTTGGGCCAAATTGTAAAATTATGAAGGTGGAGGGGGTTTAGTGCAAAGGTTGCCTTTTTATTTTATTATCTAGAGGGATTATTTTAATTCAATTGGGTCCCCATATTCGGCGAATCGTCCGGCTGAGAACTGACAGGCTATGTGATAAACTAACCAAAAGCCAAACTCTCTCTCCTTCCCAAACCTCATGGCAATTTATCGATCTCATCGTACAACGCCCATCCTCTGGACCCGATCACCCTAATTCCAAAAACGACTAAAGTCGAAACCCTAACTCGGGCGATTCGACTCGGTTATTATCCATCTCCACACCAAAGATCTATATCCCCTGGCAATGCGACCGTGGTTCTCGGCCATATACCTCTCGAGAGAGGACTCCTTTTGTTTGGCTGTAACCTTCTCCTGCTTTCAGATTTATTTAACGAGTTCGAGAAATGACCGATGATTCCCATGTCCCTAATTCCAGGGGTATCCTTTGCAATGCTGGTGCTGGCGCCGCCGCCGGTATCTCAAATATTTCGTTCCTTTTCCCCCTTAAGCCTTTTATCTCAATAGCTGATTTCTGAAGCTCTTTGTTTTTTTTTCTTTTTTCACGTGCAGGTGTTATTGCTGCAACATTCGTGTGTCCTTTAGATGTTATAAAGACAAGATTACAAGTTCATGGGCTGCCAAAGCTCAATGCTGCAACCGGTAGACGTATGTAATACTGATTTACTTTCATTTGAATTGAAAAAAATGTATTTTTCTTTATATATTTTTTTGTTTGTTTAATTATTTGATCAGGTAGTCTTATAGTTGGTAGCTTGGAACAAATCTTTCAGAAGGAAGGCTTGCGTGGGATGTACCGTGGGCTTGCTCCTACTGTACTCGCTTTACTTCCTAATTGGGCTGTAAGTTCTGTATTCCTTGATTCTATTTCAGGCTGTTCCAATCCTGTTTATAGAGTCTTAAAGAGCTCTTGAATGATATCATGAAACGCAAAGGCCAGCATTTGTTATCTCAATGGTTTGTAATGAAAGAAGTGGGTTACTTGCCGTTTTTATTGATGCCAATGTTTATATCTTGATAACTAGACCTTGAGTGTGAGAAAAGATATAGATTTTGGGGCTTTGTTGAATGATCGGCTTATTATTTAATTAAAGAAACCCTCCTTTTACTAATTTGAGTTATTACAAGATGAAAATGTATTTGTGCTGATTCCCTTTTTGTACCCACTCCCAAGCTTGATCTGAATATAGAGGCTTCTAAGCTTCTGAGCTGTATCCTGTCCTAAACCTTTTAACCTCATTTAAAAAATTGGGTAAAGTTGCATATTGCATATATACACTGAAACAAGTTACACCTTTCCCACAATGTAGGTACATTTATTCTGTTATGCTCTAGGTTGAGTTAGAATATGAGAACCAAGGACATTTTTAAAAGTTTTTTCGCATGTTATCTTTTCTTTTCACTTCTCTTTAATTTGGGAACTGGGATATGTGCTGGGTTTAAATTGTTGCTTAAAATTTCACAAATACATGAAGAAAGCCTTATTAGAGAGGATGTTAAGTTGGGAGGAAGTGCCCTTCAACACATTTATATCATCAACGCCTTTTGTTATCCTTTGTAACTCTGGATAGCAGAAATTTAAGCTGCCTGTTTGAACACTTTTAAGTAAATTATCTAAACAAGAAGCAGTATATACTATTTAGCAGTTGTTTTGTTTGATTTAGTAATTGCGTTAAACTGAATCTGGGGAAGCAAAGTCTTATTCTATTGAAGACTTAGGTAACCAATTAGAAGGTTGACTTACAAAATTAAAAATATGGATTCTTTCTCCATGCATGATTCACCAGGCAATGTGATAATAATTGCAGAATGTTGATACTTGCTATTCCAATCGTAACTATGCATAACACTGTTCTGGATAAATATAGATTTGATTTTGAGGATTTTATATTCAAAACGGGAGACTAGCTACCTGTTTAGGTTTCCATGGATGCTTCTGTTATTCTGTGTTAATGTATTCCCCTTAATGCAAGTGTGAAACGCATGCCTCAGTTCTTATAGCAGTTGTTTTGTTTGATTCAGTAGTTGTTCTAAATTGAATCTGGAGAAGCAAAATTCTATTCCTAATGAAGTGTCAGGTATCCAATCACAAGGTTGAGTTACAAATGTAAAAACAGGGATTCCTTCGCCGTGCATAATTTTGATTGCCTGGCCAATCAAATTATTGCAGATGTGTTAGTACTTACTGTTTCAATACCAAGTTGGCAAGTTCCCAACTATGCAGAACACTGTTCTGGAGAAGTTCAGATTCGATATTTTAGGATTTTATGGTTCAAGTAATTCAAACAGGAAGCCTAGCCACTTGTTTAGATCTCTGTGGGTGCTTTTGTTTTTTATGTATTAATGTATTCCTTTTGATGCAAGTGTGAAACACGTGCCTTGATCATTGGATTTTGGTTTTTTTTTCTTCATGTTCTCTTATTCACACTTTTGGTGCTTGCTTGAATTGACGTTGCAGGTATATTTTACGATGTATGAGCAGCTCAAAATCAGCCTTTGTTCAAATGGTCAGTTTCAAGCGCACAGGATCCGCAATTTCAGCCTTACTTTAGACCCTTCTATTGCTTTTTAGATTTTCTTTTATATACTATTACCCTGAATATTTTATTTTTAGCTTCCGACATTTTTCTCCTTTTGTATGCATGTGTAGATGAGAATCATCATCTCTCAGTAGGTGCTAACATGCTAGCTGCATCTGGTGCTGGAGTTGCAACAACCTGTTGTACAAATCCTCTTTGGGTTGTGAAGACGAGACTTCAAGTGCGTCTCTCAAGTTTGTACTTTATATTTTTCTATGCAATGACGTATGATGAAAGATATTAAAATTCTAGATGGCATGGCATGTTTTATGCTGCAATAGTGGTTTATATTAAATTTCTAAGTTATATTGCCTGTTGTTTTGTTCTAGCTGTAGTTTGTTACAGGATATAGAAAATTTCATCTGTTGTAGCTTTTGTTGCTTATGACAAATACTTTTGTCTGCACTGGCCATCAACTCTAAAAAATGTAAAGGAACTGGGAAGCCCATACCATACTCAAGTAATAACCTTTTAGACTGAGCAGAAATAACAGCCTGCATCAAGTGCGTGGATGACCGATTAACCGTTACTTAGGCTGTTTGGTTTACTTTTTTTGGGTGATAGATTGTTTTGAGATTTTTCTATTTTTCACTGTATTATGATGCTGCTTAAAGATAATAGATTTAGAGCTATTATGCATTGATATCTGTCACTTTGTTTTTATAGACTCAAGGAATGAGAGCAGGAGTGGTTCCCTATAGGAGTACGCTTTCTGCTTTGAGGAGAATAGCTCATGAGGAGGGTATTCGGGGTCTATACAGGTATTGTAGCACCATTCATAAGAAATAGATAAATTCTTCTGTTTTTCAAACCAAGTTTTTTTTACCGGAATTGAATGTTGTACTTTTGCGTGATGAACAGTGGTCTCGTCCCTGCATTAGCTGGTATTAGTCATGTTGCCATTCAATTTCCAACATATGAGAAGATCAAATTCTATTTAGCTAATCAAGGTTAATAATCTAAATTTTTTAATAACATATATATTTTAACTATTACTACTCATTGAAGATATTATAACTTAATGGGGCTCTTAGCAGATAACACTCCGGTCGATAAACTCAGTGCACCTGATGTTGCTGTTGCGTCATCAGTTTCCAAAATATTCGCATCCACATTGACTTATCCGCATGAGGTATGATGGATAATTGTTGACAACTCCTTTCTTCTGAATAAGGCTGCATTGCACTTATCATGTAAAAGATAGGGTATCTGCCATTATTTTCTTTTTGCTCAAAGCCATAACCAATGTTTGAGAGCTGCATCTAGATATGTTTTTATTATTAGTTTCTGCTTAGTCATGTATTCTTGTACGATGTAGGTGGTACGTTCAAGGCTTCAGGAACAGGGGCATCACTCTGAGAAACGCTATTCTGGTGTGGCTGATTGCATTAGAAAAGTGTTTCAGCAAGAAGGCCTTGCTGGATTCTACCGTGGGTGTGCAACAAATCTAATCAGGACCACACCTGCAGCCGTTATCACCTTCACCAGCTTTGAGATGATTCATCGATTTCTTGTCAATCTTTTCCCTTCTGATCCATAGCCTCACACGTTATGAGGCTGCATCGTTCTCAACCAAGGATATAGCCTGTCTCCCGGCATATGACCCGACAGCATTGCATCATCTTGGTAGTGATACATTGTCACAATTTGTATTCTTGTGGTAGCTTTTTAGCAATATTCATTCCATCTTATTCTCCTCACCCTACACCGGTGAGATCAAGGGTTCCGAGGAAGGTGTGGACGTATTACAGGGACAATGATAATGACGAAAATGATACATTGTTAGCTTAAATTAATACATTCATAAAAGAAACATATATTCTTTCCTTATATTTTGAACAATTATGCCACCCGAAAAAGTTCGAAGACAATTCATTTTAATACATAGTATGTCACTAAACAGTGAATAACATCACTTCCTGATAGCTGCTAAGACATTGAACTCACTTCGTCTACAATGCTCTAGATATTTTCTTTCCTTCATCATATTATTGAGGGCCTTGTGAGGTACAGATTAGCACTTCTGAGTCATGAAAAATATGCAGAACAGTAATAACAACAATTATGCATATAAAGTTGTCTCCTTTTTGACATTTGTGCTGCAAATTATATCAGAAGAAAAATATGTAGTAGCAAGTAGAGGTGTATAAAAAATCCGAATATCCGATTTTGCGCAAAAAATATCCGAAACCGGTTTTGGGAAAAAACGGTTTTTTTAAATCGGATCGGATATTTTAAAACCGGATAGTATAACTGGTTTGAGAAAAAATTGGACGACCGGATTTTTTACCGGATTAAAAACCGGTTTGAAAAAAATCGGATAAAAAACTGGTTTTTTATCCGGAAAAAAAATCCGGTCTGAGATTTAAAAAATTAGATGACCGGATTTTTTACCGGATTAAAAACCGGTTTTTTCAAACCGAAACCGGTTACATCATCCGACCCTCCAAACCGATTATGATCCGAACCGATTTTTTTATAAACCGATTTTTTAGCTTAGTGAAAAAACCGGATCAATTTTTATCCGATCCGGATCGAATTTAAATCCGACTATTTGCATCTCTAACAGCAAGTGCCGCTATCCACATTATTAGTTCAAGACATCAATCACCATGAATGTAGGAGGAAGAGACATCGAGGATAAAACAACTACGCTTTAACCTATCATCATTGTCTTTTCCATCAAAAATATTTGGGCCATTAGAAGAGTGCAATGCTTTCATGATTTTGTTTAGACCCGCTCACAGTAATATAAAGAATTTATTAAACCAAACATGTTCTGTAACAACAAAGAAGCACTGGCTTACAACCTGTGTTAACAAACTACTGCTTTTTCTTAGAACCAAAGCCTTACTTTTGGCAGTGGAGTTTTTTTTATTTAACTTTGTGGTTAGAAATTAGGGTTTTGCCTTTTGCTTTCCAGATGGGATTTCGGATCTAATTCCCCCCCTCTCAAAAGGTAAATGATTATCAATGGCCACCCAACAACAACAATTATCATCTTGATGATCATCATGTCCATATGTCTACTTTAACTTTTCCAACATAACATGGGGACTATTTTATTACTTTTATGTTTCTAAATAATAGGTTTAAGTTTCAAAATATTTCAATTGAGTCCAGATTTTATTCTGGTTTAAGTAACATTATGTGTTGGTCTTGTCCGGATATATTCTAATTATTAGTGTAGTTGCGATTGTTATTCGAACATGTATTTGTATGCAATAAAAGCCACTTTCACAGCTTTTTGGACAATGGGTGAAGAGCAAGAATTCCATTTTTTTTTTCTTCATGAAATGAAGAAGAAAAAGGTATTGTATATAATACAAATACATGAAATATTAGCGGAAGTTGAAGAGGATAAGGAGAGGCATGTGGGTGCATTATATGATGTGGCTTCCCATCTTCACAGCATGGAGCAGCACATTTGCTGCACCAGAAAGGTGATGCCCACCTTACACTTCCAATCCATCAATATAAACCATAGCCTTTGTTTCTATTTGTAGGGTTCACTTAACATGCCAACATGAATAAACAAAGCCATTCACTGCCCTAAAAATATCAGCCCCCTCTCAAATATTATCAACTCTAACTATTTATCTTTCATAAATATGTATAATTTGTTTTGCATTCTTAGATTAAAGCTTTGCTTTGGGATTTCCAAAATACTCACATTTTTTTGTCCAATTATTGACTTTGATTCTCTTAACAATATGTCATTGCTTTCCGCTTTCATATCTTTTATCACTATATTTATTGTATTTCTCGTCTCTCAAAATATACCCTGATCAAAATATTAAGGTTAGTGTACTTTTAGGCTGACTTTAGTTTAGATATGCAATTTGATCCTTAATTTTTTTCCTACAAATTGGTCCTTGACTTTAGCTTTGAACTGCACTTTGATCCTAGAATTTGGTTTTCAACTATAATTTAACCATTAACTTCTTACTTTGATTTATAATTAAAATATGAATATAAGTAACATTATTTTTAATAAACTGGAGCTACCTATTATTTCTGTTTTAAATATTAATATTTGTTGATTAAAAATGAAATCTATACGTTTAAGCCGTCCGTACCTAACGTATGGTTACGGGTCGTGATCGAGCCGTCCGAGTCAAATTACTCGATATAGGAAATACTATGAATTGCGCGCGCTCAAAGGTGCGAGACTGCGAGTTGGTCTGTGACCGACTCGACCTAGCTTCAAAAGCGTGGAGAATAAAAGTAATCTTGATAACTTCTTTTAAAACTACTAACAGTATCATGCCACATGGCGACGTCTGATTCGTCTGTTTTCGAAACAATGCTCAGCCAGTTGTTATTTTAGCAGGAGCTCCGATCCTTGAATATAAAAATAAATAGTTTTAAAAACGCCGGCCAGGGTTCTTGAGGAGGCCCCTACGTGGGCCTCGGTCGTATCCGGACCTATTTGGTTTGGAACCAAACCTAGTATTTGAATTTTTTAAACGTTGAATTCTCTGACCAAGGGAACATAAATGTTACAATATACTATATGCTTTCTGCTAAAAGCATTTCTTTTTCTTTTCTTTTCTTTTCTTGAAATAGTTTAATATTCAAATTTGTTGCAATTATTTTATATAAAAAGTTGAAGTGGCCAAAGCTCTTTCTTTTATTTTATTTTGCATGTTTAAATTTAATCAGCCCATGCTTAGAAGGTAATTGTTTTAATTGCTGAAATGAAATTATTACTATTTAGAGTAAGATTATAACAAATTACTATATTAGTACAAAACTTTTTCCTGTAAAATAGATACGGACCATTTTAACCTAAAAAGGTAGGTGAGAGTATTTAAAGTTTAATTTGTTTGATATTATCGTGGTATAATATATGAGAGAATGTAAAATTAAATATGTGTAAATGTTTAAAGATTATAATAAAATGGAGATATAAAGATAATTTTTTTTATCTTCGTTGATTATTTTTTAATGAGACGTTACTTATTTCTCAGGTTAAGTTGAAGAGATGAAAAATTTTCACCATAATTAATCATTAAAAAATATAAAATAATATATTACTAATATAAATTTCATCATGTTAACCATAATATCCAACAAAATTTTAATACGAGAATTGTTGTTGGCCACGCCGGAACTTACTTTTAAAGGGGGCCATTGGCCAACCCTAACAAACCGAACTTCGCTTATTTGAAAGAGAAAACAAAAATAGTTACACTTACAACCTTAATCATGCTTGTCCTTTCCTTAATCATGCTTTAAAATCCACGCGCCAAGGAAGGCACCTGAATACACCGCCATTTAGGCCCTTTACCTCTTTGGATTATGTATACACCCGGTTCGGAGGCAGGTATGGAGTAACAGTGGCTGTGGACAAAAAATAAACCTTCTAAAGAAGCTTAAAAAATATAAAGCAGACTTTAGCTTTCTTTTCTACATAGAGATAGCAAAGAAGAAGGGAAAAAACCCTTCAAACTCCCACTTTCACATAGCAATATCACAGGAAAAACAAAACCCAAAGCTTTGATTGTTTCCGTTTTCTTCCATTGGGGAGAATTTTTGAATTTGGTTTTATTTTTTGGATGGTGAAGTTGTGAGTTTTTTTCCCATAGTGTTTTTGAAATAATTTGGGGAGAGAAAATGGCCGCAGAAGGAATGTTGTTGTTTTCTGCGGCTTCAGTTGTGGAGGATGTACTGCAACAACATGGAAACCGCTCCAAATATCTGGATTTGGAATCCAGAAAAGCTGAGGAAGCTGGTACTTTAATTTTATTTTTGTTTCTTAAAGTCAGCATCCTGATTTTTTTTCGAATGATGATGAATTTTTCTGCTGAAAGAAAATATTTCTTTTTTGATTCTGTAGTTTTAAGCTAATTAAAATGATGTAATTCCATGGAAAATGTTGATTTTTTGGGTTTTCTAATTTACCATCTGATCTCTCACCTTTTTGTTGAAATGAAAAAGAAAACTGTTGATCATTGATCACTTACAGTTTCTGAAATTTTAGATGAATTATAGCGTGTTATGAATAAAATTTGAATGAAACAATTTACTTGTGAAAATTAAAAAGAAAATAAAAAGTAAAAGATAGAAAGAAGGTGAATGTGATGATCTCTTGTATGGCACAGCATCAAGGAGGTCTGAAGCGGCTGGATGGCTTAGGAAGATGGTCGGAGTCGTGGCGGCTAAAGATTTACCGGCAGAGCCATCGGAGGAAGAATTTTGGCTTGGTTTGAGGAGTGGAATAATCCTTTGCAATGTTCTAAATAAAGCTCAACCTGGAGCTGTGCCTAAGGTTTACTTGATTGTTATAACTATCATTTCAGTTTTTTCCAATAATTTTCCTTTTGATCAATTCATGGTTAACTTAATTGGGGATGGCTGGTTTTAGGTGGTGGAAAGTCCATGTGATGCAGCTCTCATACCTGATGGAGCTGCATTGTCAGCATTCCAGTACTTTGAAAATGTAAGGAATTTCTTGGTAGCTGGTCAAGAATTGGGGCTTCCCACTTTTGAGGCATCTGATCTAGAACAAGTATGTTTTCAATTAATTTTTTCTTTTTCTCATATATTTTTGCAATTCTTTTGATTTTGAAGAAATGTGTTTTATTGTGTAATTTATTTCATTGTAATTTGGTTAAAATTCTTTAGGGAGGCAAATCTGCAAGGCTGGTGAATTGTGTTCTAGCACTCAAGTCCTATAACGAATGGAAGCTCTCAGGTGGAAATGGGGTGTGGAAATTTGGTGGAAACTTAAAACCTACAACCACCACTTCGGGAAAGTCATTTGTCAGAAAAAATTCAGACCCTTTTATGAACTCCTTGCAGAG